TAAATATTATTGCAAAAATATATTATACTTGATCCTTGACAAGCATTCCTTCTATCTCCTTGCTTCCTAGTGCATAAACAAACAAATATTGCCTGCAGTCTCAAGTCTCAAGTCGTTTGATACAGTGGTGTCTACACCCCTAGCCTGGTTACTTGTTTTGCTCATGTTATCGACGTGCTGAGCAGGCTCTTGTGCTAGCGAGAAAATCACAATATTGAGTATTTGACCAGCCCTCCCCAGCCCCCTACAATACCACCCACCAAAAGCAATCCAGTCAGACATCCGGGGGCATCAATGTCATGGCTAGCAGTGGGGTGGTTCGAGAGCCCCGCAGTACTTAAGACTTCCGTGGTCAACATTGCCAACGAGATTGACCCCACCTTTGACTACCGTGACCCTTTCATCGCAGAACTTGGAAGACGATGACGTGCCTCCAAGTCAAAGCAAGATCCTAGCACTGCCAGGCGAGCAGGCTATAGCCGTGCTGCCGCTGACGCTAGATGCAATCAGTATACGGTCTTGTGATCGAACCGATGTTAGTGGCCGAAAGAGTGTCCTAGAAAGCAGCAATCTAGCTCCCGAACCAAGGTAGTTCAACAGAGAGGTGCTGCGACTGCTTTCATCGTATCTTGCGGACACGTCGAGATATCGACACGTTCGGCACCATGTGCACAGCAAAGGTGCTGCATTCGTCCGGCGTCAATTGAAAATCATGCGCCAATGCGTCAGCGAAGCACTCCGAGCGTCACATGGATCAGTCACTGGTACGGAATTTGTGCGTTTGGTACTGCAACGTCATCCATATTATGGTCAGACTACGGTCGCAGCAGCCCTCCTGAGACAGCTGATTCCTGGATTACTACGATGCCTCGCCCAGCTTAATCGCCCAGGCCTACTGAACATTGCGACAACGGTCATTAGACACTGGGTCACCCAGAAGGATCTATCAAAGCTATCGGTGAATGACTACGACTATGCAATGTCACTGCCGGACCGCGGTGTTGTCCATGTCGAGGTGGACAACATCAGGAGATCTGAAGAATGGTCGAGAGTCGTCAATCCATTACTCCCGCTCTAGCAATCTCCAAATACATCGAATACATTGTGCGTAGGTATGATGTGTGAAACTCTTGTGATTTAGTATCTCTCCTTTGCATGGGTACACACCGCGTAGCTCCCCATCGCTTCTACTGAGGAGCGCTGGTGCCTTCGTCCGCTTGGACGAGCACCGCGGACATAACCGCGACAATCTCGTTCTGCATCGGTACGTCCGCACCGCCCGCTGCGGGTGCCTCCGTCATCTGGGAATCCTCCTACTTCTCAAACATTTCAATCACACCATCCCACATTTTTTGGATCGCGTCTCGAAACCGGCCGATGCGGGCGTCCGCGTCCCGGCAGCGACGGCCCATTTGGGCTTGTTCCTCGACAAGGGTGGCGTGGACGACCTGCAACTGACTGTTTTCTTCTCAAGGCGCGAGCTCTCGGCATGCTTCGCAACATACGATTCCCAGAGGCGCCAGTAGCGAGCCACCAGTCGTGCCGCTTGCTCTGTCAGGACTGGGGTTTGGTTATCCAGTTGTTGCAAGCCGCGAATCAGGGGCCGGAACGCCTCGGCGGTCGAGCTGATGGAAGCAAACTATTCATCTTTTGCCAGCGGTCCTCTGGGGAGTGGCGGTGTCATAGCCTGGGAATTGTCAGCTCCCGCCAGTAGCTTAAACATATGCTTCGTGCGAGGATGAACGTAACTGTGACGGCCGCTGGCAGGGCTCAACAGGCTTGGATATCCTGTCGTTGTCACGGTGTCCCAGGCCTGGTCCCGCCCAGTCCTCGCGCTTGCGCTTGACTGGCCGTCCTTGTTCGTTGCAATGGCTCATTTTGTTTGGTGATGCTTTTGCTGGAATGGAAGAGTGGTCGTGGATACTTCTGGTCCCAGAATTCGATGCGGGGGCTCCTTTTATACGGTGAATATGATGGCGCACACTATGTAACTCAAACCCGTCTCACGTTCAAATAAATACATCTGGGGAGCTTGCTTTTGCCTGACCTTGGTCTCGGAATGCGATTCACCCACTATCCACTCAAAGCCCTCTATCGGGTTTCCCACCGTGAACGACGTTTCCGATTCCCGGTGCTCTGATCGATGATCATTTTGCCCATACCCTACAGCGCAGCTGCGGTCAAGTCAGGCGCAGGCAGTTGGCTCCACGACTGGCGGGCACAACGGCCACAAAAAACTTCTAAATTAACCTGGCCGTCGATGTCTGGCGGAGGATGCTAAGCTAAGGATATAGGGTTTGCGCGGTTCCCGCAAGATCTGTATGCTAACCAGGCCATGCGTTTTTGAGGCCCCCCGGCTTGGTCAAAAGTTCGTTTGGCACAAGCTTATTCTTGACTCCGGAGGCCTACAGCTGGCTGATCAACAGAAATCCCACGCGCTAAATGTAGCACGTATTGTCGACTGTTAGTCACAGGTTCCGCACAATATAAAGGCTGTGGTCAGGGAGGAGTACGGAACTTCTCGTTTTGCACGATCCTGTCGAGCACAGGGAGTCTCCTGGTCGAATCAAAGGATCTACGCACTAGACGGTGGATGTTGGGTACTATGAAGTGTCGCAACTGCTTCGGTCGGACACGATACCTGGGACTGCGACTACACGCTGCCGTGACCGAAAGTGGTCCACATAGCTCAGCGCAGCAGAGGCCGGCGCCAGAACTCCAGCTGACCCCACCTCCAGACCAAGCTGAGAATGATCGCAGTCGAAGGTCACTCGCTCCATCGCCCGAAATCCCACCTCGTCAGGTATCCAGCCAGGGCCAGGGTGATGATATGCAAGCAGAGAAAATCCAATCCGTCCCGTGTGTTGTGTCGTGCAGGTAATGACCACAACTCGCACTGCAAATTGGTTTGCCATCCTTCCAGCGCTGCGTGGATGATCGCCGCTAAATCCACCAGGGAACTGGCCTAATCGCACTGTTCTCTGCATCGAGTCTCAATTGCACACAAGAATACGGAAACTGTTTAAGATGAATCTTTTTTCTCGATACATGATGCTCTGACAGATCAGTGCGACCACTTACGATATTTCGCTTGGCATATGTCCAGCCTCCATATTCTGTCCTTAGGCTGGGGCTTGGCACCTTCGTTGGCGGACCAACTATAACTGCACCACTTTATATCGACCCGCCCGAAAGTGCATTCCATGTTCTGTTGTAGACAGATTGGCTTTCGAATCCTTACCCAGGAAGCTATTCCAGGGGCGGTTACCAAGTCTAGTTAGCTTATTCACATAGAGGCCAATACGGAAGCGCTGCGGACATTGATAATAAGGTTAGACTTTCGGGCTTAGGGTTCGAAAAGCCGTCTCAATAAGTACAATACAGAATGCTGTTGCGGGCGGGCCTGTACTTGAAACGCCTACTGACCAGCGGCGCGGTCCCACGAATCGCACACATCTTCGCCTTACCCATGCCCACGCCGGATTTTTTTCCCAGTCGGCCCCACCTTCGATTGAGGCCCTGATGTCTTGGGGCCGAAACCCTGAGAGGGCATGGTCATTTCGGGACGTAGAGTCGGGCTTTGCTCTTCGTATATGGTCACCATATGCCCCTGGGCATTTAGTAGGAGGGACATTAAGTAGGAGGGAGCAAGCGCACAGATGGCCAGATACCCCACCCGGCACTTAACGACTCTCGAAGTTCTTCTGCACCACATGATGGTC